ACCGCTCTCCAGGCACAGTTCAGCCCCATTCTCCCAAATGCTGGAGAACATTTATAATCTGAGAAGCAGAACCATCAGCTCTTCCTCTGGCAGTCTTGAGAGTTTACACTGCTCCACACAGGCAAATATCAAATAAGTGTCACATTTCTTATTTATAAAGAAATCATAACAAGCATTGTTTAATTGTACATCAAATAAAGTAATTAAAATTAACATCAATCGAACCTAGTAAGGACCAGGAAATACAGCACTGGGAATTTAAGATGGGGATTATGAATTACACTGATTTTACAAATGATAAAGGTTGTACCGATCCCATACATACAGCATATTAAGAGATAAATGTCTGCAAATAAGCCTGGCTTATGAAAAGATGACTTTTCTTTTACTAGTATTTCACAAAACTCCAGCAAATTTACAAAGCTTTCTCCTTTAAACAAGTCACATCCATCCCCTTCTATTAGTCAAACGTGTGCCGAGGTTCTCAAGAAATCCAAAGAACAGGAAAAAAAGAAACACACACTAATAAGCACTTCTCATCAGATTATGGTACATAACACAAAGAAAATGGGGTAGTTTCCCACTATAGGCAAGAAAAACCTGAATCACAATTTATTTTATGCTTGATTATTAAAAAGGCTATAAAAATCATAAGCAAGCGATGCTAGAATTTAGATGAGAACATGACTTACCCTCAGCTTCTATTAAAAAAAATCCCAGTCATTTGATGGGATTCTTCTGGGTTCTGAAGCCGAGTCTGATGCAAGTCTTTCCACTTGCACTTTGATGTTAGACAACAGTCAGAACAGTTCCTCCCTGCAGCTAAGTGCATCCAGACACGAAACTTAAATCACATTCCTCTCACTCCCCAGATATCGGAATTGTGAAATAGCAAAAGCCTCCCAAAAAAAGAAGTCATTCAGAATTTTAAACACCAGGCAAAACAGGAGAGTCAGGAGTGGAAAACTAAGAGCAGCTGAAATAAAGCTGTCTACAAGCCAGAACAAAATGATGAATGTCCTTCAGAGATCCTGATGAATTGTACTATTGCTGCTAATTGCTTTATGAAGTTCTGACCCTAACTGCACTACAGAACTGTGTTTTGTTGGTTGGTTGGGTTTTGTTTTCTTTTCAAAGGCTAGTATGAGGATATTAAGGTCAGAGTTCTCCATTGCTATGAGGATAACTCAACCTTAGAATAAGCAATCACATGACAAAAAGCAATTGCTTCTTCCAGAAAAGAACAAGAGAAATTTCTAAGCTATTGCTGCATAGGTGTTTGAGGCCAACAGCCAAATATTCCATCTCTTTTCCCAAGGATCCACCAATATCCAAACCTGCTACTGCTTTAAAAAGTCTCTTCTGCTGCAGAAACACAAATACAGGAAAGATCCATTTTTACCCATACAGCTGGAGCCTTTGAACCCTTTCAAGGAGAGATGGTTTTTGCTGTGTCTCACCTAGCCTTGCCAGTTGTCTCATACAAACTCAGAGCTCCACATCATCAGCAAACTTAGAATGACATACTTCAAGTATCAAAGCAACCAAAATGTTTTAGCAGCAGTCTCCTCTTGCTAGCCTACATATTATGAACAAGCAGTTCTGACAAGCAATAGTCTTTCTGAAAGTATTCAGGTCAAAAAAACCCAAAGCACAACAGTCTCGTGCTGGTTTACAATAAACCAACAAGAATTGCCTGTGAAATGTTTAAAGGACCTCTCTTCTGTGCATGCACCTACATGTTATGCACTGTTACTGCAAGAGAGCAAGAAACATGCACAACACAACTATCTAGTCCAGGCATGGTACTTTCACCAAAAATGTACATTACAATGGATCAGCAAGTGAACTGCAGAGTACTGGACAACAAGAGAAACCTGGGCTGAATCTGAAAGTAAACACTACTACAGTGACTAGGCTTCAAAACCTGGAAGTTTAAGTTCATAGTTGCAGGGTCAAAGCATGTAGAAACTTTAACACCAAGGTGGAAGGAGATTACTCAAAGACAACAGTAAACAAAGACAGCTAAAGTATTATGAAGGTTCATCCAAACAATTGATGTGAAAGGCTTTGAAATGACAAACTGGAGCAATACTCAAACGGAAGGCAAAGAATATGTCTCAGTGCAGAAGTAGAGAACAAATGTAGCAAAACCCAAGAATATGCATGCTCCCAGGCAAACTGAATTTTTTCTTGTCATTTTACCAGAGACAAGAATGAACTTGTACACACATTTCAGAAGCAAAACTTATTCTCATCACTTTGTACTATTCCAAGACCAAGGAGAAAAATCAGCTTTTACTGTGTACTATCTACTGTTGCAGGGCATGGAAGAGCACCCATGAGCTAGGAGGAGTTGTGTTATGCTAAGGAACTGGACCTTAGGGGCCAGCATCCTTTACCGACATCTTCATCCATATTCAGGCTTTGTAGTTTGCTTGCTTGTCTTTTACTTCTCAGCAGCTGCAAAAAACCTTTCCGGTTCAAAAAGGCAAATAATTTTTCAACATAAACTTGACATCTAACCCCTTTACCCTCAAAATATTTAAAAAAAAAAACAGAAAAACACAGTCAGCATGTAGTATTATAGAAACAATGCTACAAAGCCTTCGAGACAATTGTGGCAATGGATGCTCGCTTTTTTCTTCTTTTAAGCTTTGTCAATCAACATTAATTTCTTCACGTAATTTTGTTAAGTACCATCTTCCAGTTGTTTTTTGGTGGGTTTTTAAAAAAAAAAACAGAAAAACACAGTCAGCATGTAGTATTATAGAAACAATGCTACAAAGCCTTCGAGACAATTGTGGCAATGGATGCTCGCTTTTTTCTTCTTTTAAGCTTTGTCAATCAACATTAATTTCTTCACGTAATTTTGTTAAGTACCATCTTCCAGTTGTTTTTTGGTGGGTTTTTTTGATCAGTTGTGGGGTTTTTTTGTTGGGGGGTGTCCTCAATGATAGTTACATGATAGGCATAAATTAAGAGGAAGCGAATGCAGTATAAGAGATCTATCAGAAATCCTTCTCGAAGTGTTATGGTCTACCCATCAGTGAATGCTTGCCTTTATCCTGAGGATGGCTAACCAAAAATAATGTTTCCCTTAAAGTTACCATTGTCTATACAAACAGTCAGAAATCAGATACTTTAGTTTTGAGCATATTGTCAGGACGGTGCTTAAAAAAACCTCCATGTATCAGACAGAGGCGAGGCAATAGGTTAATATGCCCCATTTTCAAAACATTTCTTTTCAGCCACTAGGTTTTATCACTAAGTTTCAAGGATCAACCTGAAGTTACATAGCTTCCATTTATGTACAAATTTACCTTTAAATAGGAAAGAAATCCTAAAAGTACATTCAAAAACTATGTGGTCCATAAAGAGAGTAAGCCCAGACAAGTTTATAAACACCTCAGGATGGACCATTTTATAGAAGTACCTGGTAATAAAGAAAGAACAGATAAGAACATGACTTTCTAAAAAGAATATGTTTAATGATATTCACTTGCCTGTTTACTGGGAGAACAATGAAGTGATCAGAAATACTGGCTATTTCAAATGGACATTAGATTGGTAATAAACTACTGCAATTCATACGGTCTTAAATTTCCAACTGAAATCTTTCAATAGTCGATTTCCACTCTCACTATTTCCTAGTTTTTTCTAGCATCTGTTCTTTATGAAACACTACATTAACAGTGTTTGTTAAACATGTTTCTGGAAGCATTTAAAGTGTTTCCTGAAACAGTAAATCACAATAAGTGTGTTCCTAGACTGTTATTTATGCTTCAGGAATCACCATATAGTACCAGTTCTGCTAGAATTTGTAAACTTTCAGAATAATCTTGAAAGTTACAATAATCTAAATAAAGTAACTTCCTGATGTTCACCATCGTTTAAAGGGACTGACAGGTCAACACTTAAAGGAAAAAAGGAATTAGTCAAATATTCAACTTTGATAACTTAACAAGCTTAAAGAAGCAAAAAACATATGCCTCAAGAGTTGTATTTTCATTGCTAAGATTTCAATTATAATTTTTTTTAAAAAACGCAGTCTATATAGAAACTTCAACATTTCATAAACATTAACTAAACTTCATGATTCAGATCATGTTTAGGACCAATAAATCTGATTTATCCCAGCCTGTGCTCTCAGTTCAAGACCATTATATTAAGCTGAACAGGAATGTTAATAAAGCAATACAATTATTTTAAGACTTTTTCAGTAAGAATACATTTTACTCAGGTGTCTCCTGCTATTTCCATTTATCATACTCCTGCCTGAAGAAAATAGAGCCAATTGTCTCCCCTTTCCATTGCAAGTGACATTTTATGTCATTGGGTTCCAGAATAACGATTTGATGCCAAGGTTTTTTCTACACTTACACTCCTATTAAGCCATGCAAGGAAGAATAAAAATGCACGTTAGCAGACAAACTATTAAGCAGAAAGTTGAGGTCTGATCACGAGAACTGGAACTCAGCTACAACAGGAAGACTATTGTCCCCCTTTAAGAAATCCCATATTAAGAAGCTCATATCAATTTCTGTTTGCTTACAGAAAGCCTCCATATAACAACTTACAAATATGCAAAGGAGAAGATACTCAAAAAACCATTCTGTCCCAAACTTTTCAGCTATCATTTACAAATGGAAGTTCCTGAAAAGCAGTGTATTTTGAAAAATCGGTGAATACTTCATGAATTTTCTTAATTCCTTTATCAATTTTCATGAGAAACTTTACATGTGAAGACAACAATACTGAGATGTTTATCTGATGTGCATCTAATGAGCACAGGCCTACACACATATGTACGTGTATCATACACATGTATACATATACAAGTATCCACGCACATACACACACTCAACCATGAATACAGCAGAGGGGTTTAACTTATATTCTCCCTTAACTCAAATTTCCTAATGACAAAAAAGTGTCTTTTTGAATAAAAGACTACTGAATAACTTAGAAATGTATTTCAACCTGACCAAACCAGACAATTGGGCTAAATGACCACTTTTACCTAAGACACAAACTTACATTCCACATCTTCTCCAATTACCCTTATCTTACCAATTAATAGCACAGGTTGCTCAAGCTAAAGCTTCTGTAGTTAGCAACTGACTTTCAATAGTTACTTCTCCGTTTCTGAATTTATGTGGAAAATGATAGGAAAAAAAGGAACATGCAAGCAACAATAGCCACTAATCTAGTAACAGCATGCACACAGAAAAACATCAAACGAACATCACAGATACGAAATTAAAACTTACGAAAAAGAAGCAATACAAGTGTTCAAAAGCTCCAAAGTAAGAGGAAAAGAAACAAATGGGATAAATACTGAAGCCATTACACATACTTTCCAGAACAGAGGTGTCAGAGCAAACTAAAAGCTACTTAAGGTTATGATCTTTTTTATTTTGGGTTCTTATCAGACAGAAGACAGTTGAAAAGCACAGCGTCAACAGGATAAAGCTCTTTGCTAGCAACAAGTGAACATACACTGTGGTGGTATTGCTGTCCTAGCACTATATATTTAAAAGAGTAACTCTAGAAGGAAAGCAAGGGTGATTTATTTTTACTACAATCTTACATCAAGGGTAAAACAAAAATACAAAAAGTCTAACCCATTATTAAACATTTAAAAACACCTCTCAGGATACAAGCCAGAGCAGTAGCTTCAAGATCCAAAGACTATTTGCTGGTGACTGACAAAAGCCACATTTATCGTTCAAAGGTAAATCCTTATTATTATATAATATCAGACATTTGTCCCTCCCCCATCTTACATATTCTGTTAGCGTCCCATGAAGAATGTAAGTTTTATATAATGGAAGCACATGTGATCCATGCAACAACATATGGGAATGAAGATGCACATTGTCAAAGTGATTTTCACCCAATAATTTTTTGAATTACTTGAGTTCTTATTCTTCAAATAAAGGATAAAATTAGATTTTGTTTTATTAAAAAGATTAACTTTTGTTTTTACACTTGTGGACAGAAGCTTAGAATACACTGTTGTTTTTCTCAACAAATGTGAGAATATCAACAACAAAACTTTAACCAGGAAAAAACCAACATAGAGATACCTATGACTTTAAAGTCAGGATGAAGGAAAATACCTTATGTATGATTAGATATACAGCTTGGACTGACTGTAAATGAAATAGTGCAAAGGGTGATTATTAATAGGAGTCTTCTAGAGTTTAATTACTTAAAAAAACGTTTGTAATGTTTAAATCAAAGGGATGCAGAAGAACGTAAGGAATGCACAGTAGGAAGGATATCACTCTCGCATACAGCACAGAATGTCTTAAACAAGGCCAACTTGTGTGACAGCAAAAGTAATAGAACTGGGGAATGAAATGCAGAAAGTTATAACCAAGAAGGACTGGCGTGTTTTACTCACAGAACTCCTCCTCCAGGAGGTTTGCGTAAATTTATCAGCATACATGCACGTTGACCCTGTAGGTTTCTGACTGTCTTTCTGGCAGTTACATCTAGTGGCCTTAATCACCCCCAAAAAAAAGAGAAAAAGAAAGGAGAATTTGTTAGAAAAATAACTAAGCCTCTCGAAAAGCATAGTCAAGGCCCAGCATTCAGATATTCTGCGTTACTTGACAGTATAGAATCATAGAATTGTCTAGGTTGAAGGGACCTTTAAGATAGAGTCCAACCATTAACCTAAGACTGCCAAAGCCACCACTAAACCACGTCCCTCAGCACCACATCTACACGTCTTTTAAATACCTCCAGGGATGGCAATTCCACCACTTTTCTGGGCACAATATGATTAAACTGTAGAAACTAGTATTTACAGTGCTGCAGAGCTCCTTCTTTTCCCAAAGTATATTTGGAAATAATCTATAATAAATGTTAACTTTTGGAAATGGTTTCTGATTCACTTAAAGAATGTGGTGCTTCAGAAATTTAATTCATCTTACAATAGTAACAAATATAAGTTTTACCCATCTTTACGGCAGAGTTCCTTAGGTGCAACAAAGTTTTCAGTTACTACAGTAATTAGGTATACAACCTAGCAGGGAAGAAGATGTACTTGAAATCTTTGAAGGCTGATGGTAAGAGTGAGACTAAGTGTGCTGAAAAAATGAACACTTACTGCAAAATACTAATAGACAAGACAATTTGTTTTGGTATGCTGTTATCTGGAATTCTGTCATTTAAGAAAGAGCAAAAACCAAATCTGAATCTCTCATTTTTGTTTTAGAGGGAACGATCACACACTAGACAGGGAAAGGATGAAGACAACAGGTCAGTTTCAGTGCACGTATGTCCTGGAGAGCCTAAACCACGACAACATATGTACAAAAGCACATGCTGAACATCTCATTAGAGATTACAGTCACACAAGACTGTCTCCAGCCGTGATAAATAAATATGGTGTGCACCTCGTGGTATGTCTTCCACCCTACCTTTAAGATCTTGCTTGATAGCTTCAAAATGTGGCGCTATTTTACAAGAATTGCCACAGCAGGTGAGTTTACCAGAACCAAATGCAGAGATACACGTGGCAAAATCTAAAGCTAACTCAGAACAAGAACAAAAAGGCATGTGTAACTTTTGCTTGAGGACTAAAGTGTCTGCCTGAACCTGATTTATGATGAAAGTGCCCCCATAACTTTTATTCACTTGGCCAATTTAATCTTACTATTCAACGTGCTTTGGGTCTTGTTTGTTTGCTTTAAAAAAGAATCAACTTTGAATACTATCTTGATTAGCTTTAAGTTCTATGGTGGAATTCTTCATTAAACTAACGGACAGCAGGGGAAAGGAGGGGGAGGAAAAAAAACAACAAAAAAGCTTCAAGAAAAATGACAGGCCCAACACTTGTTAATTTTTAAAATCCTTCAAGCATGAAATGCCTTTTCTTTGCTTATTGTTACTTCTGAACAGCTTCTAGAATTATGTGCAAAGTGCTTGTTTTGGAAGTGATATATATTTAACAATCATATAAACACCCTTGCTTAGTGCCACACCTACAAATCATGACTGGCCTACAGAACTGAAGATCCCAGGTGTAGAGCTGCAAACACACTAGAACATGTAGAATTGATCTAACTGAACCTTTACAGACCTGTGGGTCTAAAAAGAACCCATATGTACCTCTGTTATAATGAAAGTGTAAGAAAAAAATTAGCCACCTAGCCCCTCTTAAAGCCTTCATAAGAATTACATATTGAAGTTACACTCTGCAGTGCACACTTGGGATTTTGCTAAACATTTCATATTATACTTACAAGTTGATGCTCTAATTGGTTGATTGTTTCATCCTTTTTCTTCAGTTCGTCTTTAAGCTGCCTGATCTCATTAAGCAGATCGTCCATCTGCAATAGAACAGAGAGCAATAAGAAGTTTTCTGTAAGGGCTACACATTCTAAATCAACACCTCTACAGAATATATTACATCAGACATTCATGGAGGACTGGCAGCAACAGTAGCACATGTTTTCCTTCTCTTATTCGCATGGTGAGATGGGCTGCAGGCATACAACCTAGAGTGAAGAAACTTGACTAGAAGTCTCTCTAATAGAGTTAGGATGACCCAATTTTCAGGGTAAGTAAATCAGCTGCATTTTTGATGCAGTAATTCATCTGTTGTACAAGCAACTTACACCATGCAGATGAATATCCTTAGCCATCAAATGCTACCTATACTCCTCTTTACCCAATAACAAGAAGAAATACTGACACTTAAAAGTTAAGTGAACTGCTATTTAAAATCATTAAGATAAAATTATAGAGACAAGAAAAAAATATTTAGAAACATAAGCATAACTAGTGTTTACTGAATGCAAACAGTTCAACTGATTTGAATACATCCTACTAAAAACAGAAGACCTAAAATAATTATGCAAAGTTCAGAGACTAAAAAACTGGTAAGTATGCAAGAGTGAATTTTTTAAAAATAATTTTTCATCACAAGGTATTTTTAATGTATTTTTTAACTGTGCCATTATAGCTAGGCCATAAATTAAGGGGCGTACTTCCATTTAGTAGCATATATCTACTATTTCAGTTTCACTGAAGATGTTATTAGTTACTGCTTTAGGACAACACCCAGATTGATTTGTTGTGCAATTTTTCAAACCATATGGCAGTACCAATTAAAGAAGTGACAACTCAAAATATAAGTTAAACCTAGCGCTTTTTTTTTTTTAAATGAAGTTAAAAAGCAATACTTTTTCCTCTAAGAATTAAGACTATGATTTTGAGGGAGGTGACTGTAGAAGGACAAGCACAACAAGTACATCAGACAACAATTAAAGATAAAAGAAGGCATAAATATTAACAATGTGGAAACCGGAGTTGCTAAAGCGTGATGCATATGGATCTACAGCTCTGGCAAACCTCGTAAACCGTGAAACCAGAATTTGGACAGCCTTCAAACAGGAATAAGATTGTAAGTGTTCTTCCCTTTCAAGAAGTATTCGTAATTTCATTTTATCTTCAGCAAGGATGGTTCCCCTTCCGTAAGTGCAGGAACAGAGATCTTTCTATACTGATTTTACAATAAACCCTCAAGCAATGCTATAAAGCCTTACCACTGTAGAAAGCACAACATTACAAGTCTGTAATCATAAAAGATGATCCTTTTTGGAAGATCCATTGTGATTCCTTCTTCCTTTAATACCCTTTCTAAAACAATAAACACATCTTTGACTTTATGGGGTTCACGTTGTTTTTAAGTTATGTCTGCAATACCTACATTATCTGAGGGAAAACTTACTTTAGATGAAAGATATTTTAAACTGAAGTCAACAATAAGTGTAATGAAACAGCAAGTAATTGAATAAGCATGGTATGATTACACTTCAAAGCGAAAATTGTCTTTTCAAATTCTAACACTTATGAAGCAGGCAGAAAATTTCTGAAAGAAGTTACTCTACAGCTATAAATTCTCACATGACTGCTACAAATACCAAAAGGCAAAGTTATTTTAATTATTTAAACCGTGCTAGCCTTTGTAAGTATGTGTTTTAAACAGTCAAATAAACCCTTCCATTTTAACAAAACTGAAAAGATGAAGTACACAAACATTTGCTAGGTTTGCATTTAAATAGATGAAAGCAGCAAGAAGCACTACTTCAGTGACACAGAAGTTTTGGGGTTGTGTTTGGTGGTTTTGTTTTCGTTTCTTTGTTTTTGTTTTTGTTTTTTTTTTTTAAATACAAACGGGTTTCTCTCTCTTATTCTGTAGAGTAAATCAGTGTCATTTACCTTAAAAGTTGACTCCGGTTCTTGTGGTTCTGGACTTGATGGAACTGAGAGTGGGATGTCCTGGAGCGACACATTTTCATCATTCTATCGGAGAACAAAAACAAGAACAAAAGCTCAAGCTACTTGCTGAAACAATTCCCTTCCAAACATGCTTTCAAGGATGGAGTCACACCACCTCTCTGCTGAACTGTTACAATGTCTGACCTTTCTCACTGGGAATTTTCCTTTTTTTTTCCCCCCCCCGATAGGAAAGCCTTCCTTGCTGCAGCACGTGTACAGGACCCAAATAAAGGCCATGAACAGGCTCCCTCTTGTCAAAGCCGCAGGAACAGCTGCAGCTATGTCAAAGTGTGTTGATTTTGCGCAAAGATCTGGTAAAAATCAGCCATGGTGTTCAAACGCATTGTATCAGGAAGGATGCTCTGTGATTTTTAAGCTTCATTTCCTTCAGTACCCATTCAAATAACCTGTGTGAGCAATATCAAAATATACAGCCAGAATATTTCAGCTAGGAATTCTTAACTAAAAAAGCAACATTTGGTACTGAGCAGACTAATAGAAAATTAATTCCGAGCCATCAGAACTAAGTATCAATTACAAAAACTGGAACCACACAAAAGTATTCTCCCCCTTACAGTTATGAACTCTGAAATTAAGTACAGGCAGCAGAAACAGAAATAACCAGCAAAGATGCCAAAAGGTGATTGCCTGGATACGTACTGAAACACTTAGGCTCTCGTGACAAAAACTGACACAGCCATTATGTGCAGCACTGTGGCGCTCAACCCTGGAACAGTTCAGTTTGGTTACAGAGCCACATCACAGACTGAACAACTGACAGTGTATTCTTGCGATATGTTCTCAGGTTTGTACCACAACATTGTGTCCAATCTCAATTTGACAAAAACCCACAGTACAATTACAGCACAGTTATTTTATGGCAGTAGAAAACCATAACCCCCATTCCCTTGGTGTAAAAAAGATTTCCTCCCCTACTCCCCTTTCAGTCTATCTCCTCCATCCGCTACCTTCTTAAAGAGAAAAATAAATTGATCTTCTACTTTACAGTAGTATCCCATATTTTTTTAGGGTTCCTAGGGATGAGTTTCTTTGCCCAATGACCTCACTGCCTAAGACTGCATTTGTAGAATGTAAGAGCAGCCTATCTCAAAACCTGTCTAAAACCGCTGAGGCTGAGCCAGCAATTCCCCAAAACCATGAGAGCAGAACCACAGCTCAAATGCTAAAGTTCAGTTAAGGGAAAAAAACCCACAATAGACCTATTTATGTCCATCATGTCCATGAGGTATCTTTTTTGGTTTTTAATCGATAAGAAATCTTTCTTATACATTTAACTAAATTGCAGAGAAACATAAAGAAAATTGTCCGGACGCAAAAAAAGTTGATAAACTTTTAACAATTCAATTTTTACTTTTTCCTAGAGTCACTGATTACCTGCAGCCAAAATATGCACAACCATCACCAGTCTTAAAGATAAAAATACTAAGAATTACCACACAGTTCCAAATTGCTTTTACTATACTACAGATAGTTAAATTTAATTTTAAGTTTTGTTGGTGGGTGGTTTTTTTGGGGTGGGTTTTTTTTGTTTTGGTTCGGGGGTTTTTTGGTGTTGTTGGTTTTGGGGTTTTTCTTGTGGTGGGTTTTTTTTTTTTTATTTTTTTTTGGTGGTGGTGGTAGGGGTTTTTTTGGTTGGTTGGTTTTATTTTTTTTTCTTTTTTGTTTGGTTTTTTTTTATACTTGTTGGCTTCTTTTTTCTTCTTCTTTTTTAAAGTGACTATTACTTGTGAGAGCAGTCAAATTTCAAGGCTTCTCACTCCTTAACATAGCAAGTATTTCAGCTTACACTGTCCAACACACAGTTATATTCAATTCACAAGTAACTGCTGGTCCCTTCCAGGCAGATCGCCAGCAAATGGCAGGATGATGAAGCAGCAGTTTACAGTCTGTTATGAACAAGTTACAATACAGCGGTTTATTATATTATTGTGCAAAATATTTCAGAGAAACATTTTTTTAATCCAAAACATTTTTAAAATGCTAGAGGAAATGAGCAGCAATTAACAGATTTCCATCAACATTTGTTATTTTAAACAACTATACAAGCAAATACATGCTTTCACAAGACAGGGTACAGACCGTCAGTTATAATTGTAATCATGGGAATGGAAACAAAACAAGACAAACTATTGCAAACAAAAGTATCTTGCATGGCTTTTAAAAGCTCTATCACTGATACCTCTGATATACCTTTTATTTCCTTTAAAATGCATATAAGCGGAGCAATAAAACATTCTACAACAGCAGATTATGACCCAATTGCAAAGAAAGTTATGTCACACATTCTCTGGCAATTTAAATTAAGTACTCCAGCCCTGTGCCATACCTGGTTACTGTTCACTAGCAAAGCAAGAACTAAGTTCATTTGCATCAATTCCCTTACCACGGTTTTAATTATCTTAATACATATAATGAACTCAGTGTAACCACAAAAAAAAGTTCTAACAGTATCAGTGGCAACTTAAGCATCCCATTATAAACATATGCTAGGATTCATCTTTGCAATTTTTCTTGTTTGGCTTTTTCTTGCTCATCATACTGCTAAAATGAGATAGGGAAGCGGAAAAAATATAGCAGAATAAGGCTATGTACAAAAAACCCCACCAAAAAATATGTTAGAATTAGCAAAAAGACAACAGAATTAGCAAAACAAATTGTACTTATTACATGCACATGCTCTTTTGGGTAGCCTAGAAATTATACGCTATGATATCATCAAATTCTGGAACCTTGGAAAGAACATATAATTTTACCCTTTTTGGTAAAGTTACAATAAGCTTTATAAAGCTTATAATCACATTGCAATAGGCAATATAAAAAGCTGATAGCTCTTGGGTTTTACCTGACTAAGATTTTTACAATAGTAGAATACACTATTCATTATAATATAATCATGTCTTTAGAGCAGTTGGACCAGTCTCATTTGTACCAAACGTAAAAGATGCTTACAAAAACAATAAATCAGGATAGTTATATCACACACAAATGCTTATCAAATGCATTGAAAAGTCAGTTCTACTTGGAAACATAAGCAGCAACAAAACATTTTACTAATTTCCCTAGCAGAACATTGCTTTTGCAAAACAGCAGCATTAGAAGGAAAAAATAGTTACAAATACTATTAACTATTTCCCAAATTTAAAACATTGCAACAAAAAACTCAAAACTAATACATTCTGACAAACCTAGTGCAGTTATTTTAAACATTACTGGCCCTTTAGGCATGAAAATAACATGCAGAATGTAAACTGACAGAGGACTAATGTTGCAATGTTTAATTAGTTATGTAGGGATAGTCTTCAATTATAAGTTGATTATTTTAACCTGATAAAAATTCATATATTTGCATGCAATGTTTAATCAAGAATATGCTCAAGAAAACAGTAAGTAACATGCCAGTGATTAATCATTTCACACTCCTTTTCTTGTTGCTATGAGTATCAGCCATCCATTTGAAATGTTACCTGTCCACAGCAATTTTCAATTCAACCACATTTACTGGAAATTTTTTGCTGGGCTGAAGTCAACAGCATACACTTCAGCTTTTGGCCCATTTTGGGTAGTCCCTATGTAGTAAGCTGAGGTAATCATAATCACGTGCCTCAAGGTATTTTTTTTGTAGCAGCTTGTAAAAAAATCACAGCAAACCTGGAACCAGAAACCACTACAAAATACCCCAGCAAGACACACAAAATCATCCTAAGTTTACTAATAGGTACATAAAGAGAACAGGTGGTTATGGTGGGGGAAAAAAAAAATAAAAATCCACACACAAATTCCCTTCAAACACTTTTAGAATACTCAAAGACCAAAAGGTTGCTCCTAAAAAAACCAAACTTAACATCAACTTCTTGAAGACAAGTGTGAAGAGATATAATTCATCACATCTCTGACAACATTTTAGTGTTTATCAGCATAGTACCTATACAACAAATCCAGAAGAATGCCTAAAGCTTTACAGGCATGACTATTAAAGTAGCCCCATCTCATGCTGAATATTATTTCAGCTTCATATTCCTTTTCAAAATGTATCTGTTGAGAAAATTAATACCTTCCTAATTTTCTTACAAGCTAATTTACTACAGACCAGCTGATGTTACTGTTTTAGGATGAACTCAGAGTTACAGATACAACTCTGAAATGTACGTGTAGCGAGAATATGTAACAATCCTTTCTTCCCCAAGTGTATACACTATCATGCACCTTATTTCTCTGGACAATTAATTTTCTACATGTGAAACATTTTTACATACCCACTCCCAAATGTTACAGTCTAACTGAAGCACTTGATCATAATCTCAAGTTGGCATCTGTCATTTTCAGTCCAACTTAAGTACAGGAGCTAAAGGTTATGGGAATGACCCTCCAGCCTGGCTGTCACAGGTACACCACAATTCACCCAAACAGCCACAAATTGAAACCTGTATTCTTGAGTGGTTCTACTTAATATGCTCTCATGCCAATGTTTTACAAGTGTGAAATCTTTAGTATACATGACACACAAATCCCTGTGCTTGCTTCACCTTATAAATTGCCAAGGGACTGACATTGCTTTTGGTAAACAGAATACTAAACATTAATTTTTATTTGGTCACAGATGGTTATTTATGAAGAAGCGTATCGTATACAATTTAGTCAGGAATGGCCTAATGAAAAACCTCACTACCTTTCTAACCTACTGTGCTGATTATAGTCTGCTGTGTACAGAGTGTTGGGCTTTGAACACAGCAGTATTTCTGCTGATAAACAGTTTAGCAGCTCAAAAACCACCACATTGGCTTGTATTTGCTCCTATTTTCTCAGCAGAAAAAAATACAACCAAAAGAAAAGTCAAGCTCTATCACTAAACACACCATAATAGTCCCTGGAACATATTTCAATGTTATAAACGAGCACCTTCTATACAGCATACAGACAGTGCAGCTGTTCTCGCTGCCTACCCTTTCCTTCTCGCCTTTTCCCCTTGCTTTCTTTGGGTGATATTACTTGCAGGCTTTATTTTACATGTGCCTTTAACTAAAGCAAAACTATAGAACTTCTAGAAGAATAGAAGAGACAAGATAAAGGGTATTCTCTCTCAGAAGAGATCGCCAATATTGCCTCAGAGGAAGATACAAAGCTAAAAGCTTAAAGCCAATAGTTGGTTTCATTATACTAACATATTTTAAAATTCTTCTATCACAAAAATCAACCTATTAAAAGCAAACACATTTTTGGCAAATATCTTGCAGTTCCCTAACAGCATAAACTACATTTTAACATGCAGTGTTTTCAAAGAATATACTACTAATAGCATACTAATACATTCACCTTGAGAATTCTTTCAACATTCCAGCATCTACAGTTCATGAAGAAGCTGAAAAATGCTAGATAATTATTTCTGAAGTTCATCAAGGTTAAAGTTTTATCAAGGTCTAGCCTTTGACTCCCAAGTCAAAGTTTTCTTTGGTACAAATTACTCATTTGAATAGGCTCTTTGCTAACAGCATTTTTAAAGATACAAACAGGAAATTCATTAAGTGTCCATCAAGTAGGGGGTGCTATTTACTTGCTGACTACTTCACATTTTGAGTGTGGTTTCATTCAAATATCGCTTCAAATGAGCATCATGCAATTTCCATTGCACTGTCAAATGCCATTATAATGACAGGCCAACAGCTAACCAACTTTTAAACTTAGAATTTGCCAATTTTATTTGCTGTTTGTTGATTTCTTTGGTTCAGTTTCCTTCAAGCACAGTTAAGTCACTGAGGTGAACTATTTTGTGGCTAAAAAAAAGTAACAACTGTAAGTGCAATTTATACAACTTAATACATGACACAAAAAACCTTTGTATTTCATTAATAAAATCTGTTTTGTCCTTGTCTTCAGGCTTCTTATAACAAAAAAAATCTCTTACAGATCTCGCCAGACACAGGGGCAAAAAGAACACAACGAGTATGTACTTCAAATGTACGCAAGCAGCTTAGTAATCTAAAGCCTCAGCAAAAATACATTGGTGCATTTAATTTCGCACTACAGACTCAATTTTTCATTCATACTTTTTCATACAAGTGGGCTAGTCATATACGATAAGTTACAATAAAGATTTGTGATCGAAAAATAGAATTTCTTTTCCATTCATGAAAGAAAGTTGAAAAGAAACATTTTTATTAAAACTTCCCTCCCCCAGAAATAAGGGCTTCACAGATCTTTCAGTTCTTTGAATCACTTCATGCTTCAGTCCTCCTTAAAATATCAGTGAGTGGTTATCCGAGATAAGACAGGGTGGTTGCTAATCATTTCTTCCAGTCTCCAGAGGAAGTTACTACAGAGGAGGATGGTCAATCCTTGCCTAGATCACAGGCTCTAGGGCATCAGAAATAGTACCATTCTTATTTAAATAAGGATGTTCTAACACACATCGAACCTGTAGCCTCAACCTAGAGCAAGTTTAAGAAACTGAGGAAGAGGAAAAGGAAGAAGGAAGAAATTTTTAAGATCAGAAGAAAACATCTTTACTATTAGGCATGCAAATGAAGTACCTTAGTCAATGTTTAAGAGGCATTAACATTTAGATGTCAATTATTACTAGAGTTAGACTTCTTACAATACAAAGTTGGTGCTCCAGTTAAGCATTAAGTGAGAATATTCACCAGTAGTTCAACATCACCCTGTAAATAATTACAACTGCATTTAGTACAAAAAGAATGTACGTTTTTCACTCCATATAAGCTAGTGTAACATTACTGCAAAATCAGAGAATGTTATACTTACTACAGTGAAAATTTTAAAAAACTCTGCATGAGACAGACTCCTATTGCTGATTTCACTGTCTGAAGATACATCAAGATGGCAGGATGCGAGGAGTAAGCAGACAGCATGTGTACTGCTGGCACCATTCGCCTGGTCACGTGGAGTTCAGAAAAGGCTAGACTACTCAAATAACTGCTTTTTTTTTCCAAGAAGAACTGAGAACACACCACCAAACCCATGCTGTTGCAGCTATGCTGCTAGTAATATTCAAGATAATTTCTAATGGTTATGTGAGCTATAGTCACAGCAACAAATCCAATATAGCACATAAAGCGGCCATAAGAATCTGCTTAGGTATACATTCATTACATGCTATGTTCTACAGTAAGCCACACTACAGCTGATTAGGTAACTGTATAAAACTGAATTTAATTACTAAATCTTATTATTTTACTATAACTGTTCCTGTAAGACCTCATGCCTAAGACCTGACTACAGCTCTATTTTACCTATCCAAATTGAATAATAATACCTGGAAAAAGGTAACACTTATACATTTAAACATACAATATAGGTGAAGCAAATATAAGAACTTCTGCTTTCTATACTACAGCTAGTGTTTGAAAGGAGCTGACTTTCTATCTTGCTTTTTCACCTTTTGTAAGAAGAGGCCTGTCATGACCCAGACTAAGAACAAGTACTAGTTCAATGTTCAGACTGCTGAAGTGCGTGTAATTGTAAAGAACAGAAATGTAAGTTTGTGAACAATTACAATACTTTTTTACTCATTTCTGTTAGTATAAAGCTCAATATTTTCAGGAAAGGTTTAGCACTTACAAATAATGAAAAAATGTTTCATACAAGTTTTACTCTAATTGTTTAGTAAATAAAGGTAGTAAAGGTCTAAAGTTTCCCCCTCTAACAGGTTATTTACTTTTACATTACTACCATATTGTTTGATTAAAAGGCTGGAATATACACAGGAGAGTAGAATAAACATTCAGAAGTCCAGCGATGAGTTTTGGAAGCAGACAGTCAAAATTGGGGTGGGGGTAAGGTCAGGAAAACAGAGAAGTATGATTGACAAAGTTTTAAGGGAAGAACAATACTTGTTATTACAAAACCCACTATTACAGGGAGGGGGATAACAGCAAGCCTTTGGCAAGAGAAGCTGCAAACTTTGAAAAACATATATATATTAGGAGTGACTCTTTCTTTTGTGAGTTTAAGGGTTTGTTTTTTTTTAAAAAAAACTTTATCTGAGCTACTTGAGGCTAGGTTTGTGTTCTGTAACCTCTTAGAAAAGTCTGGCTATTATAAACTAGACTACGAATTAAAATACAATATTCTGCAGGGCCACCCACTATTTGGCTATAACATGCATGCCTTTACACAATGAACTACACATACACAGATCGTCTATCTAGTTGTTTAATTGTCCTTGGGTTAAAGGCATTAAAAGCTCTGGATAAAGAGTTGCCTGCTGTCTCATGTACATGCTTGAGGCTGTTGGGAGGCACAGATTATGCAGCCCACTACTCAGACATGAAGTTCTAAGAACACACCTTCCCTCTCTGACACTACATTATTTTTGCTGCGATTGTTATTTCTGATTTTGTCAGTGGAAAAACATCTCCAGTATTTTGAGTTACCATGGGAAGCAAACGCTCACATTTCTAACAGGCACACTCATACCCTTGAATTAGCCTCAAGGTTGATTTGCTTTTTGTTTTGCTGTGTTTTGCTTTCATGTCTTACTTTAGAGCACAAACTTATTTCCACCACATTGTCCTGTTAGCAAAGAACAGCAGTAAATCTAGTATTAAAGAGAACATTATTTTCAATGCTCATCTGTATATGGCTCCAAAGAAAATCTCATGGACTTTGTTTTTTTGTTGTTTGCTTTTAAGGTAGCAAAGGAATTTTTTTACCTGAAGTGCCATACTTCTGCCCAGTCATCCAGCAGTTTACCAACTCCCACAGTTTGCCAAGTTTTGAGGTGAAATTAAAAAGCTCCTTAAGAGCTTTAGGAAAATTCAGTCATTTCATACACTAGAAAGGTCAAATTTGAGCATGTCCAACAGAGATAACCCAGGAGGATTTGCTAAGCTTCTTGTCAAAACACACAGAAAATATGAAAAGAATGAGGAAAACAAAGCCTTAAGAAAAAGCTATTAACATTGACTTGCTGAATGCAAGTTCGATCAATGGGATAGATTTTAATATTTCTTAATTTTTTTACTCCTAGCTTTTTTGGATTTTATTAAATATAACCTTGTCTTCCTATCCACTGGTGTTTTTTTAATTTAGCATTATTTCCTCAGAGAAGCAGAGTAACAATATTTAATATTTTTTGCAGTCAGTAAAGTGCTGAAAAAAAAGCAGGAAAAGTACTATTTTAAATAGCAATAAAAAGTGCACACTTGCTTGAACACTGTAATTCACTGTATAAAGGGAATGACAATAGCCTAATAAAGCCAAACAGAACACTAGCCCATCTATGCTCAGTCTCCAATATACTTTACTGCTTTTGTTCCATTTAAACAGCTCACCTGGTGCAATAACCTCTTCAGTTTCAGTAACTGAGTTTTTACAGCTGTGCAGTCCTGAACCATGTGCCGAAGGGTCATTTCATCAAGCATCACAGTATTCTCCGGTAAGCCCACCAGCTGTCTAGGAGCCTGGTAAAAATTTGGTGCTCCATAGCTTTCAAAGTGACCAATAGGAGATTCTAGGTAGCTCGATCCCCTAAAAAATGAAAAAAGTCCCAAAAAAACAAAACAACAACAAAAAATAAAACACCACAGTGATGACAAACCAGAGCTAGAGAGCATTTAGTAAAAAAGAAGGTGTTAACAAGGGCTGTATTCACATACTGTGACATATCGCAGAAAAGAAATAAATCAGAAAATGTCAATGATATTTCACTTAAGTGCTGGGCTTTCCTTCCCACCTGCATAAATCTCTCGCAGACTGACATCTACAGTACCCTAAAATCAGTTTGCTCATCAGGATTTCTATAAACTCTGTCATTCAAGCTAGCCTTTAAGAACTTTAGGATTACTTTTAATTTAAAAAACAAATTAGTAAGTAAAAAGCTGTCCAAACTTACAACATGCAAATAATAAGACAGTGTAATGTTCTTCTGTGGAACACATGGTAATTTAGTCAAGCTTTTATATCATACAAACACAAGTAACAAATATTTGGATTAACAACCATGACAAACAAAAGTTTTGGAAAGAAATTCTTATAAATCTCAGTGATGCTCCCACCCAGACGTGCTAATTGTAGACATACAACTACTCTGAAAGCATCTTGTACTCAGTATCACTTGAGACTCTTCAGTACTGAAAGAGATTTCTCATCACAGTATTTTAACTCTTTGGGAGGAAAGAGACAAGTCCTTTACCTGTTCAAATCATTTTTACCATGGATATAGTGATCAGTATTGCCAAGATGATAGTGATCCTGGGTATTCCATCGCTGTTGTGGTGCTCTTTTCCAGAATCCTTCCTGATGTTGCCTAGCATTTCTGTCTTGTCTATCATAACGGCTCATATTTTCACATTCCTCTACAGAGAGCATAGAGTTAAAAAAAAAATTATAAAATTTGTTCCTAAGACCTTGTAAATAAAATATTTACTCTGCGCTGGCAATAGATGCAGAGTAAAATATGTGGGGGGTTATTCTTTTTAAACTGATCCAAAAAAAATATGCATTTTGGAAATGTCAAGCAGGCTTCTGTTATGATGTCACATTTTTACTAGCATATAAACTTGTTACACGAATAAAGGTAACCTGTAGCATAAACTACGGAATTCAGCCTTAACTGTATTTCCAGTTTAAGTAGAAAACCATTTGGAGAAGGTACAGCTATGGGGAAGAAAAAAATCCCAGAGTAACACTTTCCTGTCTTTCTTACTGACAGCATCTTCAGGCCTTTAAAAAAGTTCAAACAACACACAAACACAGAAAGGAGACATTTTAAGAAAAGGCCAGTACTTCGTTCCAAAACAGAGGAGTTCCATTACTTAAAATACATCTACATCTCATCCTATTCATCTTGTTTGTTTTTAAGCTTGAAAGACATTTAATCTTTATTTACCAGGACAACAAGCATGATTTCAAACAAGCAAACAAAATCATCTCTTTAAAACACTAACTTCTGCGAAGCAAAGCAGATTCCACAAACTTCTTAAGGGAACAAAAGCTATATTTGGCAACAACTTGTAAACCACTAGAAACAAAGCCAAAACAACTGCTATCCGTGCAGTCAGACACAGCAAAGAAAGTCCTAAACTGCTATTCTGCCATCGCGCTTTCTCCTTCACTTACCCAAGGAGCTTTTTTCCTCACATTGTCAGTCCTTTGCTAGGAGAATATCTCCACACAAGAGAACATTGTTTTACTCGGCTGCCTACTCGGACATAGTTGCGCATAAGACGCTCATAAACAGGCCTTCCTTCCTGCTTAGTTCCCAGCCTGCGTGTTGTTGGGAAGTGAGCCCAGTTTTACCCTGTGATTTAAAACTGCCATCCTCACTCACTGCATACTTGTTGAGCTAGAACTGTTTCTATAAATAGCGTCCAAGCGGCATCCCAGACTCCAAAGTGAAACAAGGGGAGTTTCTGTAGACCTGGAAAGTCTTAAGAGGCTGACGTCAGTGAAGTCACATAATTACAAAAAAAGTGTTGGCAAAAAGTGCTGTTAAATATTATTATAACAAGTACTCATATCTAGAATTCAGTTTTAATCATCTAGTTCAATACCCAGAAAATTAGGTAAGAAAATATACTTGTTCACCCTAAGTAACAGAACATTTATTTCCCTTTAGATGCATGCTTCTACAGCTTGTAACACATGAAAATTCAAGTGGGTCTATTCAAAATAACCCCTCAATAACTTTATAAGTGATTTTATTATTATGATTTTCAGCTTTGGAAAATGAAATTGAGACACTGAGTAAAGACACAGATATTAACAACAAACAAATTTTGCTTTTTCAGGTGGTCACGTTTACATAAGGGACAGCCTGAAGGTGACTTTGGAATTTTTCTTTTCAGATCCTCTTTGCTAAAAATGCAGTGATTTCAAGATAAGAAGCAATTATAGCAGAGATATCCAGTTTATGCCACGTTAATTTTATATAGAAACCCAACTTTTAAAAAATGCCAAAAATAATACTAATTAGCTAATATTGATCTCAAACAGTAAGTTTCTCTTCCTGAATCAGCAGCTTATACAGCAGATTGTCACAGTAACACAACATATTCCAGCTACACAAATATTATTGATACTTAGCTGCAGAAGTGGGAGTAGAATAAGTTTATTATATTGATGCAATTAAGAAAGCAGTGAAATAAAAATTGGCAAGCATTAACTTTTTATGGTTTCATGGCAAACATTCACCTTTAAGATGCATGTATTTGTAACAGTTTTTAAATTAGTAATTTGAAACAGAATTACTGATGCAGATGCAGTGCATGTTTTATAAACAATGAAACTTATGAGAAATTGATCTAGCCTTTAAAATTGCGTCTTAGTTTTTCCCAACAGAATTAGAATTACCCTTATTGAAAGAATATCCCCTAGGCTTGGATTGTTATCCGTTCCGGAAAATTTAAAACAAGAAATAAAGAATAAAAATTGTACACCTATCTGGGCTGAAAGGCTGAATACTAGCACTGCTGTCAATAAGCACCTTTCACACCAGTACTTCGGAAAACTGTTTCCGAGATTTAAAGATTGAGTACTGTACTTCATATGTGCACACTGGTAAAACATGATGTGCCACCATTGTGGTAGGTGGAAGACTATTTATTTACTATTAATATGGCTTCATAGCTAACATACACACATGAGCTTTCACCCAAAGAATTCAAAGGTACTCTCAAAAAAACCTGAATTTCCTCAAACTTCAACAGGCAGCTGACCAGTACCCAAAATGAGGAAAACCTTTTTCCTTTCAGTGCCTGTTTGTACAGAGTAGGGCATTACAGCACTCCACACTCAACATGTCTGTTCATATGAAGATAACATTAGCCTCCACTGAACTTGGAGGTAAAACTAATACCCATATTCACATGACAGTGAAAATTCCTATGAATAAGTCCGGAACGACCAAAAGCAAGTGCCTCAAACTTTTCCAGGCCAGGATTTGAGAAAGCGTGGCAGTAATTCACCTTACCTAGTTCATTTTAGTCTGGATTTGTATTATTTTAGAGGCATCTAGGGACCACTATCCTCCCTGTGAAAAGTTTGCCAGCATCCTCACTGAAAACAAGAATGCATAAAAGACACCTTGAAAAAAATACATCTTCAATCTTAAGGCTTCTGTTACCCTAAATTGTGTAAAATGTATTAGGAGATATTGTCATTATGTAGAAGAATACAAATAATTATCTCAAAACTAATTACATTATCATTCACCAAAGCTGAAAAAATGCTGTTTCAACATTTTCAAATATAGCTGCTGCATAAGACTGAAGGACTAACTTAAAAGTTTGAAATTTATTCTACTAAAATAATTTAAAGGAACAGCATGCAACACAGTTATATTTTTATAAAAGGCAGTAAATGTCTAACTTTAGAATTCTTCAAGCGCAAGAATTGTATTTGGGGGGAACAGAAATATCACACTTTCTACATTTCAGAAAAGAAAGAGCTTTTAATTAAAGAAAAAGCAATCTGAAGAGTGCATTGGCTTATTAAAGCAGAAGTCAGAACAACATAACTCAAAAGTCTCTTGAGCCCATAACGCAGTTTCACAACAACATTGCTTGGCTAATTTACTAACCTTTGTCATGAGGCGGGTCCTCAGGCAGGTCCACATCAAGCATGAGATCATCATCTTCAAGATCACATGAATCAAGATTATTCAAGATATCCTGCAAGAAAGAAAATGTGAGATATAGCTGCTTTGCCTTTTATTTCTTTTACCCTACAGACATGAAATGTTAACTTCAAAGCTTTGTTAACATTGCATATGTGTACAGTGCAAATGTATCAGAAGCCTCCTCTCTTTAGAGCCTTACTTGGGACCGTCTATACAATCACAGTGCTAGATGAAACAAAGATAGATCAAAACATTTTTCTGCCTGATGTCTATGGAATACTCCAAAGATTTTTCTATTCATTAATATCCTGCCTTTTTCCCAATTGGAAGCATTTTAAAACTAAATTACTTTCCTCACTAAGAATTCAAAACAGCTTTTTGAAGAGAAGATGTTAAATCACCTGATTTTAGCTCTCATATCATGCCATTGTAATATCCTTGAAAGGAAGAGGGGGGAATGTATGTTCTCTTGACTTTTTGGACCAACAAAACTTAAAATGTACTATTATCAGCATTAAGCTCTGCTGCCTCTTGTCTTTAAGACTATGGTTCATATAAAGCTGTTTCTAGAGTGACTAAAACTGTCACGTTATAGGGGTGTACTAATAGTACAAAAAAAACATAGTAAAGCCTTAGTACTAAATAGAATTATAGATATTATATATAGTCAGTCAGGTATACTAAAGAAAAAGGACTGTAGTGTGGGCAAGTCAACTCAGTGTTAAAAAGACAGGAACTGACCCCTCTTCCTTTAAGAATACCAACAGTAGGAAAAACTCAAGAGGTCAAGGCTGAAGAATTCCTGAAAGCTTACCGAGCAGGCAGATGCTGCTAGCACCACCCTACTGAAAAGCCCCATCAGGCAACAAAGTGCAGTACTTGATCAGAGAACCCAGACTCTGTTTTACTTCATTATTCAAAGAAAGCTAAACTTATTAATACCAAGTAATCATAACACAAAGTAGGTCTAAAGAAACTGTTAATGGTTATACAGCTCTAACTCTTGAGCTCTGTTTTCCATATCCCACAAATAAAAGCCATAGCTTTAAGGCCCACCATCAGACACTGGCACTTCACATCCGTCTCTTTTCTTAAAACAGAAATGCCGATTTTTCTTAGGTTTAACAGCTACACCTAAAGATGGGTCATGGGTTCAATACTGAAAAATTTACCAAGTATTAAGTAAGTGTTTTACTAATTATTTCTCACCGGGTGAAGTTAAATACTTAAATACTTAACCTAATACTTGCATACAGATTATCAATACACTGCTAAACAATATTCATTTGAAAACCTATTCCTTTGCTGGCTACCGTTTATTAGATTTGCTTTGTCAGAGAGGTATAGGCGAAAAGGAAGAACATTACTAGGCATTTATCTAAATTGCTGCTCCAACTGTTCTTCAGCAATCTTCCTACAGTGTTCACAAGACTTCTGTATTTTATTACAAATGGTGGAAAGAGTTAAGAACATTTTAAGATTTTTTTTGTGACACAGAACATTTACTCTTTTCATGTCATACTTGCCCTCCTAAGTGAATAAATGACTTCCCCTGTACAAGCATAGAATGTTTAACATGCGCTTTCTACAACATGAGCAACGTATAGGTAAGATTGAATACTTGAGACAGAACAACCTGTTTCTGTTATATTTACAAGTCTTTGTTGAATTATTTTGTTTACATATAGTATTCTAAGTATTTACAGAAAAAAATAGAAAAACATACATATCAGGGCATTGTAAATAATAATAAAACCACCTATGGAAAAGCTGCACAGAGAGATGGAAGCTATTTAGAGGAAAAGTAGATTTAACACTTTGGAGGAACAAACTGCCTGTATGTATTTACTGCTTTTTGTTTCCACTAATTTACATTTTTCCAGGAACGAGAAGATTTTTCACTAACATGTATTTTTTAAACAATTCTGCAAAATGTAGGCGTGTTTGAAAACCAGCTTTGGTTTGTTCGTTGATAAATTGTTTCTGTGCCATGCTTTGATCTTCCAAATTAGTATAAACAAGCATTATTTTCTTCTACTGCTAGAAACTTAATGAGCAGGACAAATAAATTACAGTGGCCACAAATACATAAGAAATTTGAAAAACGTTTGTCACTGCTGTGCAAAAACATTTTTAAAAGCACAATATAAAAACAGTACAGAGTGCTAACTAATGAACCTAGATAAGCCACTTGACGATCTTTGTGTCAGAACTTCAGAAGTCTAATGATGTCAGAGAAGGTCAGCATTTGAGACGCCAAACACTTCTGTCAACAGCACATTTCATTATGTTTCCCTAATTATACATTCCTGCACCATGCTGAGGCAACTCCATGGTAGGTAACACGACTGTGAATAAGAAGTCTTTGTAATAGCTGGGCCATGTGAATTCACTTTGAGTATTTCCCAGTGCTATCTACTTGGGAAACACAATATGAAAGTCCCTGTCAGCAAGTCATCTTGAAATACCTGTAAGATAAAGTGCAGGTTTCGTCAACACACTAGTGCATATAGAACCTGTATTTACAGACCTCCATTGTTACTCTTACCTTGGTTCATTATGCAGTACATGGCAGTAACATTGTTAATAATGTATACTTAACAGAAGTTATCATCACAAAAAGATTCTGGGCAACAAACTCAACAAGAACAGGAAATGAAAACTCTTCAAAGATGCATCAACTATAACCCTACAGAATACTATGTGTTTCAGCAATTATTAAAAGTTATAGTAAGAGAAGAAACCTTTTTTATTTGTATAGTTGAAAAGAATAATGCATATTAAAAGGAGCATGTAACTTCACAAGGCTGATTTAGCACTAGATTTTCAAGACAGTCCAACCTAGAAAGAGATTAAGTTTGGGACTGTGAAATCCCAAGTCAAACTACTATGCTGTCGTCGGGCTCTGCCTCCAGAAAGGTTTCAACTGAACACAGCCAATAGTGCTTTCTTCTCTTAATGCAATAGAACAGAAAAAGCATTAGGTGAGAAAAAGATGATCTATGACTACTGGTGTAAGAACTGAGTAAGTTAAGAACCCCAACAGCAGGGAACACTCATATTGCATAAGGATATGGGAAAAGACTAAAAACAGAGCCAAGGGTAAGGCTGGCAAATGATTACACCACATTTACCAAGTTTACTTCAATGTTCTACAAATTCTTTTTGCAGCAATTGCCCTCAGGTGCTGTCTTACCAAAGGTTAATCAAGGACACACTAATAGCTCACCTACAACAGGTTGGGTTTTTTGCCTAATTTGATGGATGCATAGAGTTCATAATTTCTTTCAAGAGACAATGCTATTAAGTTCTTAAGACCAATGCTTTGACAATTGGGGCTCTATAGAGCAGCTACTTCTGCTGAAGCCGACAAGTCTGAAGTTCAGTACAAATTCATGCCCATCATAATGTACTGGAGTAGCAAAACATACTTTTGAAAAAGATCGGTATCTAAAAATTCGTCATGCTACATACATCATAAGCTTCTACTGAAGCTGGCTATTTTTCTGTCCAGCAACTTAAGTTCAATTTAGCTTAACAGTTAGACCTAGGCAAGAGGCCAGATTCTCAGCTTTCCCATTTCTTGCGCTAAGTATATAATGCAAATCAAAATAAATCACAAAGTGCGAAAATTAGAAGGATAGAGGTCTAAGTTTCCTCCGTATTAAAATGCAAAGATGTGGACCAGTGAAAGCTTATAACACAATGTATATTATACTGGAGTTAAAGAAAAAAAAAAGAAAATGAAGAGGAGGTTGGGCATTGGGGTTAGCACAGAAATAAAAAGCAATTCCAGATAAGCAACTCTCAACCAAATCATTTTGGAGAGTGTTCAGAGAACTGTGAAGAGCCTGAGCTCACACTACCAATTCAGTACCCATGCCAAGGTATGCTATCTTGCTTGGAAAGCAATTGCACCGAGGTAGTCAGGAGCTGTTGGTGAATATTAGTAGCCATGTTTTACCTTTTTCCACAATTCAAGATTTTAGACTTCATTCATTTATTCTCTTTAGAAAGTAGACTACTAAAAGAAAAATAACTAATTATTTTTGTTACTCATTTAGTAGGTTAGGTCTTGCTTCCAACAATAATCATACACTTCTGAATTCAGTGGAAAGTGGAAGTAAAAGCTCACATGAACTTTAAGTATTCCATAGTGATTACTTAAACCAAATACATATACAAGTTTCTTCAGTTTGATTTGCTCTACATTATTTTTTTTAAGCCTATATGTGCGGTTCCTTTGATCTTTTACTTTCTTGCTCAAAAAAGACCATATGAGCAATGCATGTAGATAATTTAATACAAAGGATTAAAACTCCTTAAAAGTTTCAAGTAACAAATCTTAAAGGACAGATACCACAACTTTGGGGTGAAAAATGAAACTTTAGAAAACACGCCTACGAGCTCAAAGTTTGGCAGCAAAAGACTGTATGTCATCTACAGCATCAGGATATAAACACCTTTCTGGCATGCCTAGTTTTGATGTTAGTATTCACATAATACTTTCCCAGGTTCCTGAGAATGCATTTATAGAAGCTTTATCTGAAAAGGAAATTTAGTAAAAACTTTACTGTTAAAACCGCTTGGCTATTTCCAGTATCTATTTCCAAAGCTGTTTACTTAAAGAACACAGCAGTAATTACAGGTCACTGCTGAATGACAGCACGTTACAGCACATTCCATTATTTAGTTATACTTTAATCTCTCTGTAAAAACATATCATCAGTAGGTTAGAATCAGACTTCAGACTTGTAGTTACTCTTACAGCACTATGCTGTATTTCTTCTGATGAAGACATATTAGAGAAATTATCAGAACAGACTATTTCAGTTGGCAGGGACCTAACAATGACCATCTAGTCCAACTGCCTGGCCAACTCAAGCCTGACCAAAAGTTAAAGCACATCATTAAGGGCATTGTCCAAATGCCTCTTAAACACTGACAGGCTCAGGGCACCCACCACCTCTCTAGGAAGCCTGTGCCAGTGTTTGACTACCCCCTCGGTAAAGAAATGCTTCCTAGTGTCCAGTCTGAACCTCCCCTGGTGCA